TAATGCAGGTCTTGGTCAGTCTTTGATTGCCGAGGCCCGTTTGCCAGGGCGTCGAGCAGACTCTCGATTCACTTTCTGCGACCACAGAATTCTCCGCGAGGAGAAGAAACGACAAAAACCACTCTTCCTTCCGCAACTCTCGTACGGAACGATCACATAAACGGAATCTGTAAACTGAAAATATTGCAGGCACTTTTGTCGTCGGCTAGCTTGCGCTTCGAGAACAGACATTCGTCGGCCGATCGAACGTGTTGCGGGCAATCCAAGATCACCAGTTTTCGTGTAGATACATCTCAAGTTGTCTGTGTTTAATACTAATCGCGGCTGTTGGTTCGCGTAGCTCGAGTAGTTACAGCAGGTTCGATTCATTCGTTCACCGCGCGACACATTTGCCCAACCGATGAACGGGGGGAGGAAATGAAGCACGGGTGATGGATGTGAAACGAGGGACGAAAGGAGTTGATACAACGAAACGAGGATTTACGTGACAGAGGATGAGAAGAAACGAAAAGGAAAAAGAAAAGAAAGATGAGGGAGGAGCGCTGACGAAAACACACCGAAGCTAAAGCAACCCGGGGGCTTCAAGCCCTAATACTCTATCTCTATCTAACGACACCTCTACATCTCTCTCTCTCTCTCTCTCTCTCTTTCTCTTAAATCTCGTAAATGCTAAGACAACCCACAGCCTCGGTAAATATACGAAAGAAAGAAAGAAAAAAAAAAAAAAAAGAAAGAACCATCCTCGACACCTCCTTCCTTCCTGAAGAAACGCGTTGAACACGTTTCACCGTTTCAGCGTTCATCTCTGACGTCGACTAACAGCTAAAGAACTAGAATTGAAAGTAAAATCGCGATCATCGTGCGACGTCGACCAATCCTCTTCGAGACGATTGGAATCTGCGACGCTGATTTTCATCAGTTCCAAGAGCGTACACGCGTGAAAAGCACATGGTCGATGGACGTCGTGGTTGGAACGAGCAAGGTCGGTCATCGTTCGGCTCACGATTCGGACATACGATTCCCGAAACATTTCTCGTCTTTATGTCTGTTGCTGATGCGTTGGGCTGTGGTGGTGCGACCACGCTGGCGGACTCGAATGGTTGAAGTTGACCGATATCGTGACCGGATGTAGCACGGTGTCGGGGCCGGTGTCGGAGACGAAGCCCAGATGTGGCCTCAACAGTGACGCCTCGACGGTCAACGGGACGTAGAAGGCGCCACCGTCGTGCAGAGCAAAGATCGGCACTCCGTGAGACGCGGATGGCTTCTCGGTGCCGCTTGTGGCCGGCGGCGGGCTGAACTTTATCCTCTCCGCGGAGAACCTCTGCTTGATGGAGCTTTTGAATTTGTAGTTGGAAGGCTTGCAAAGGCTGGTACTCGGCGGCGTACTGTGCGAATGGCTGCTGTGATTGCTGTCGTCGCTGACGATCGCTGGCGGTGGGATGATCGCCGGGCGCAAAGGACGTTCCGGATCGCCGAAGGAACTTGCACCGGAACTCGAGCCGTGATCCGAGTGACCGTTCGGCTGACATATCGTCGGAATGCTACTGTGAGCGTAACTCGACCCATTCGCGACACCGTTCGCCGTAGGCATCTCCGGATGGGGGAACCCCAGCCTGTCGCCTGCAATCACAAACATTCAATTCTAGAGATTCCCTGTTGCTTCGCAAATTTCCCAAAGAGGAATTTCCTTTGCGAATTCTTTACGCGAAACTTGTATCATTCTCTGGGAGAAACTATTGCATTGATATGATAACATAATATATAAACGATTCGCAAATAACGTATGTTGTAATGTAATTATATTGATATAATATTAATGTAAGAGACTATATATATATATATATATATATATATATATATGTATAAAAATTTCACGCAAACAATTCGCAAATGATTCACAAGTAATGTAATGTAATTATTTATACAATAATATATATAATTAACATTCAATGATATACAGTATTATATTTTATTATATCATGTATATAGTATTTTAACAATACATAGTAATTGTACTGATATAATTATTTACACAGTATAATTGTAAATATATATTAGGTATAATATATTTCACTCACTGGTAGCCAAGATTTTCTCGCAATGCTGTTGCAGATGGTTGATTAGTTGAACACACAACGAGTCTCTGGCAAAGAAACCCTCCACCTCCACGAGGAAATGCATGGTTTCGCTGAGACACTCCTGAAAGCCCAGCCTGTAGTGTTCCGCCGCGGTGGACGCGATGGTCGAGTGCGAGACACTGTCTACACTGTCCTCAGGGTGCGTGTGAACTGACGTCACGGCAGCATGTTTCGATTCTGCGATTTCGAAAAGAAAAGAGAAACAGTTTCATTCGCTCGTTTATTATAAATACGACGAACTATTTGTATAATCTAGAAGCTTTGGCTCTCTTAGACAAAATCACACAAGTACTTTGGCACCAAATTGTTGTGCGTTCTTGGGATCACCAGGCATCAGACCATTTAATGAAATTAACCCAGATATGCTCCTCTTCTCGCTCTTGCGGAAATTTTCTTTCGTTTCGGTCATCTCTGGCCGATTGTTGTTTCGAATAAATTTATTTCCATACTCCTTTCCGCGCGAACGAATTGGAATAAATTTAATTTAAGCTGCTCGAAACGAAAGGCGAGCGACGATATATCTTCGAAAATATCGAAAATATCGTATTAGAAAGATATCTGAGTTAATAAGAAAGTTAGGAGCATCCCTCGGATTCGAAAATACTCTATCGAAATCAGTAATTGGCAATTTTTTGTATCTCGGTATTTTATTTTCATATTTTGATACCTTGTCGAAGACCTTGAAGATGCTTCATGTGGCGAATAGCCATCTCGATGATCTCGGTCTTCTCCACTCTTCCCCGACCTTTCTTCAAGTACTCGGCCGGTATGAGCCTGCTCAAATCGGCCAAGCAGTTGTTCATACGATCTCTTCTCCGCTTTTCGATGATCCTGTGCGACATCGGATCTTGCTGGAACAGAAAACGAAACAAGAATAGCACTCGTCGCTCACAGATTTCGATTGCTCTCGTGATATAATTAACAAATAGGCTGATAATCATTTCGTTACGATCACAAGTTCGTTTCGATTTATGGCGAAAAACTAGACAAAGTCAAGTGATTTTTTTCCATACGAACGACCATTTACTTGATAAATGAAAATATTCTTTTTCCAAATACATTTGTCCTCGAACGTTTTTAGCAAATTCCACAGTTTCGTACAGTCTAAACAGTCTCAAGAACACAGGCCAACATATCGTGCAATTTTTGAGAAAAATCCTTGTGAGAGAAATCTGAGGTGAAACGAAGAGAAGATAACAAAACTTGAGCTTTCCAAGAGGTTGGAAGCTAATTGCAAAGAGAGAATTAGATGGAAGGGAAAATCAATGGATCGAGAGAGTGGAAATGTCACCTCTTTGTTTAAGCAGCGCCTTTTCCTCATCGGGGGCGAGTGCGCTGCCGTATCAACGTGGCTGTTCGCAGGGTAATACTGCATGTTCAGAATGTTGTCCATGCTATGCGTCACCATGGTGCTCGGGACGGGAGAGCGCGCGAAAGGTAGTACGCTGTATTTTTCCTCCGTTTCCAGATGCAATCACTGCTCGAGCAGCTCGACTAGCGGCAACACAAGAGCCTCTTGGAAATTTAATTAGAAGCCTGACGAGACTGTATCTCGCAGAATGCGAGAATATCTCGCGTTCGAACGTTCGCCACTCGACGAGTCGTCCAGTCACCGCCTTTGGTGAAAAACTGTCTATCTTTCACGATCGCTGTATGAATGTACGATGACAATCAACGACGTACACCGCGAAATGAAGGAAGAGCAACCGGCGAAAAATAGAAAAACGCGGAACGACGACGACAAAGACGACTGATGCGATGCGATGCGATGCGATGCGATGCGATGCGATGCGACGAAAACAGCGCGAGGCTCATAACACCGTGCTATGCGTGCTCCGATATGGCACGGCGACGACTGCGATCCACAGCCAGCGGCGCTTACGTTCCTTTAACGAGGAGGGAGATGCCGCCACGACGATGACGCCGCGCCGCCGCTATCACGTGTTGTAAACGCGACGCATAACACCCAACACGTGAGAAAACACGTTCCACCAAGGAAGCCCCAGCCAGTGGGAGATTCTCTTCGCCGTGGCAATTTTCTCCGCGAGGCATCGCATATCCAATATATGTAAATACACGCTGATTTGAACTTGTTTCAGACTTGAACAGCGACTGATGGAGGGGGAGGGGGGAGAGAAGAAAGAAAAAGAAAAATATCGCGACAGAGCACGAGGAGCACGGCAGGATACTTACTGCCTTGAACCAGATACACGCACGTGACACACGCGACATGGAGTAAATTATTTCTCAACGGGACCGCGAATCGTGGAGGCTGGCCAAGTGTTCTTGCTACTTGGCGATCGCCTACTTGGAATCGTATTTTAGGAAAATCTGCAGTTGTCGGAATCCGAACGATCGAGGCCCAGAAGCAAGCACCTTGCTCTCCGTAAGTGAAATTGACATTTACTTCGATTTACTTCGAGGAGAAACGAACGAGATTTGGCAGGCGACGAAATCTTGATTGTATTGTACTACGCGTTCGCATTATTCTTTTCGAATGATTTCAAAGGATTTCAAATAATTCTTCGTTCGTGTAAACGAGATTTGCCGAGTATCGAATATGATCGTCGAGGAAATCGCAACGAATTCGATTCGGCTCTGTCGAAACGAGCGGACAGCGCGCCTTTCGACATTGTCCAACGAACGATATTGCGTTGATACAGGCTCGGTACAGCGAACTGTAATCAAGAGCTGCTCGTTGACCCTCGACTTCCAAGTTTCTGCCCGTTCGACGAGTACGCGGCTGCGGCAACGGATCGTGAAAAATCGCCGGGGAACCGCATTAACGGGGCCGAGTTATCGACATTCCGGATATAACCGGACCGGCGAGAACTTTGCGGCTGACATCGAAGCCTGTGTTATGACCAAAGTTTATCGGCAAACGCTTGACCTCATGGTGTTTTTTAAACGATAACCGGGTACCACCGGATCTAGCAGCCTCGCCAACGGCTGCTAATAACAAACGAAAGCTGTAAGCATCGTACCATGGTACCGTTTATATACGTACGTATGTATTTCAGACGTAAGAAAGTCTTGCCTTATCCGTTGATCGACAATCACTCTTGCATTAGCTAGGAAATTTGTTGCGATCCAGAGTCGATGGTTCCCGCTGTGCTGGATCGATTATTTGACGAATAATAACGAAAGCGTTAAGCTTTCTTTGTGCAGGGAAAAAGTAACGAGAAAACGAACGGAATTTTATAAAACGCGATAATGAAAAATATTCTACGTACAAAAGTAAGTAGAAAAATGTAGAAGAAAATGTTTGCGTTTGAAACTTTGTTTAAAAAAAAAAAAAAA